CTCACTTCCTATCATCATCCATTCGGGAAGGGTGCGGCACTCGTCTTGATAATTGAAGCTGCAATTATTCTTCTTCACCTTCTCTGCCCGCGTTAGCCCTAAAAGTGGCGTCATCGCCTGCCTCACCGCATGAAGCCTCACTGCATGCGTCGTCATAGTGTCCATCGTCTCCACCGCCTCGCCTGCCTCACCGCATGCGTCGTCATAGTGTCCATCGTCTCCACCGCCGCAGGCCTGATGAAGGATTTCAAAACCAGTCATCTTCTCTCTCTCTCTCCAACGATGAATACTAGCGGCGGAGAAGTTGATCGTCGAATTGTGAGTTCCGACAAGATGTTGATTGATTTCGTCCCGACAGTATCGAGCGTATTGCTCTCCGAGGCGACGAGGTTCAAAATGGCCCCCGATGGAGTCCGGCGAATCTCGTCATCGCGTCTCTCGCCTTTGAGGTCGCGCCTCTTTCATGGAGAAGGTCGGCGGCGACGAGTTTGGCCACATGCTCACCGCGATCCTCCATGAGAAAAACTTCTCTAAAGAAGGCGTTACTTTTGACACTGGTGCTCGCACCGCACTAGCTTGTGTCACCCTCCGCTCCAATGGCAAGTGCGAGTTTATGTTCTATCATAACCCTAGCGCCAATATGCTTCTTATGCCAGCTAAGCTCGATCTCGACCTTATCAGTAGGGTGAAAGTCTTCCATTAAGAATCTGTAAGTCTGATCACAGAGCCATGTAAGTTAGTTCATTTAAAGGCAAAGGAGGTTACCAAAAAAGCAGGAATTTTACTCTCTTATAACCCAAACCTTTGACTACCACTATGGCCTTCTACAGCAAAGGTGAAGGAGCAAATTTGAGCATATGGAATCAGGCTAATGCCATTAAAGTTAATGACATTGAGCTTGAATTCTTAACCGGTAAAGGTTCTATGGAAGACGAAGTGGCCTTGTTGCAGTGGCGGCCTACCTTGAAACTTCTATCGGTCACCCTTGTTGAGAATGGTTGCAAGTATCAAACTAAGGATTTCCAATGAGCGGGTATGCTTCTGCTAGTTATGGTGCAAATGTAGGTTATGGAGTTGCTTCTAGACACGCAGGTCAATTTCTCAGTGCTGCAGCCGGAAGTATCCTATTTGCAGAACTCCACTCGTAGCAGACCCTCCGGAGGTTTTCCTGCAGCAGGTCCTCCACCGGAATTTTTCTTGCAGCAAACACTCCTTTAGAGCTTTTTCCTACATCAAACCCTTCTCTGGAGCTTTTGCCTGCCACAGGTCTTCAAAAGCTTTTTCTAGGAAAGATCCTTCTCGGGAATCTTTCCTACGCAAACTCTCCTCCGGAAGCTTTCCCTGCAACAGGCCTCCTTCGTAACTTTTTTCTGCATCAGGCCGTCCTCCGGAGCTTTTTTTCCTACATCAAGCTCTCCTCTGGAGTTTTTCCTGCAGCAAATCATCCACTGGAATTATTTGTGTGGCATACCCTCTTCCAGAGCCTTTTCATGCATCAAGCCCTCAGGATTTTTTTCCTGGATCAGGAGCACCTCCGGAACTTTTTTCTGTATCAGGCCCTCCTCTGGAACTTTCATTGCAGCAAACCCTCCACCTAAACTATTCCTGCAACATATCCTCCGGATCCTTTTTCTGCAGCGAGGCCTACCTCATGAGTTTTTTTTTTTTCTACAGGTCATATCCTGCAGCTTTCTCTTATTGGTTGTCTACTTCCCTGCAAACTCCCCTGCTGCATTAGTTGTAGAAGTCTTTCGTCTACCTAGGGACACTGCAAGAACTACTGTCGAAGACAATCACAGGTGTCTACTTCTCTGCAAACTCCCTTGAAGCATTAGTTATAGGGATTTTCTGTCTACCAATAGAAACTGCAGGAACTGCAACCGTTGTTGTCTACTACCATGTAAACTCCCCAACAGCATTACCTGGAGAAGCCTTCCACCTACCTACAGACACTGTAGGAACTGCAATAAAAAACAATCGCAATACGGGAAGAAGACTTCCAGTTCTACCTCTCAGGATCTTGTCGCCCATTGATGTTTTCAAATCCAAGTTAAACATGATTTTTTACCATGTTTCAATTTGAGGGGGAGTGTTAGAAGTTATATTAAAAAATAATTTATTTATATGAGAAATTATGAGGAATAAATTATTTTTTTAGATAAGGAACTATTTTCATTCCTATTTTTTATTTATTTCCTTGGATTGGATTTATTCTATTTCCTATTTTAGGCTTTCCTATTTTGTGTTGTTTCATTTATCTCCAAATTAATTAATATGAATTGATTAATTGGAGATAATAGGAGTTACATATTTTCTTTCATATTATATCAGGTTTATTGTTTTTCCTATTCTAAGATTCATGTAAGGGTTATTTATAACCTCTTTCATATCAATGAATAATTTGCATTATTCTGAATTTCAATAGGATTAACCACAAAGCCAAGGCCCACTTCATAATTAAAACAAATTGAGAGATGAACTAGCAGCAATAGAACTAGGATACATCACATTTTCCAATAGCAACATTAACATAAGTTATGATCTTGTACTCCCACAACCATTTTGCTACAAACTAATAAAAATTGATCGAAGAAGTTATGTATAGCATATCAAGCCAGATTTCCTAAGATGACTCTTATTCTAATTTTATTTTTATCATTTTTTTGACTTGAACTTCAATGCAAACATAATGTGCTCATAAGCAACAAATCAATTAGCACAACGATGTTTGCCATCACTATTTATAAATTAGCACAAAAAAGGTTTACACACAGAAACTAGTACAAGGTTTCAATACCCTGATATGACCATATTGCTTCATTTTAACACTGACTTCAATCACTCTTCAAATTTCAGTAGATGTGATAACTCTAATGACCTTTACATCTAAGAATTCTATAAATTCTAGATATGTCATTTTCAAAGAAAGTGTGGTCTAAAAGATAGATCATTTGTTGACCTATTCATGCATTTCTTCAAACTTCTTGACCTCTCTCCCATTATAGGATTAGGTTGGTACAATTTACAGAACAAACATAGATGCATGTCTCTAAAGAAAAAAATAAAGAGAATTATATGCAACCATTAAACCTCCTACTTACAAATTATCACCCCAGCAAAAAAATAGCAAACTAACCCATGTAATTAGGCATTTTGCAATCAAATCATTTGAACTTTGACAAATCATTCAGAATGAAAGTTAGTAATCGTTTTATTTTCATATATAAAGGCACGAGGATGATTATTTTGTAAATAGTGAAGATTTCAATGATACAATTATCCTAAAAATACGTTGCATGCAATGGTACTGAACTTCAGATACATAGAATACTGTGATTCTATTGGAATTTAATGTGTTTGTTATGAGCCAATGGCTGGTTAGGAAGGAAGTAGGGCAATTCAAATGATAATCAATTTTTTTACAAATATTAGAGGTTGAGAAGGAGGGCAATGCCCGTGATAGTTGAATTTTTGGTCAGACTATCCATGACCAGACTTTGTTATTCCCTAAGCCCCCGCTAGGTTAGATGATCACATTGAAATCTTCAATTTGAATTTAAAAGTAGTTAATAAACTATATAGCAAAAAAATTTTATTTAGTGTGGATATTCTTTGTAAATAAGCTTCTTGGCCTTATAGGGATACAAAGTACCATTTAATCTATTTACATAGACCAAACATATGTGACATGGGACCCAAGAGATTTTCAATCAACAACATGCATCACCAAAGATTTATTTAAGGACATACAATATATGGAAAACAGTGGGTTATGCCAAGGGAAAAACTTTTCATTTAGGAACTAATGAATGATAAATATTATTATAATGACATTACAAAATTTAGCATAAGAAATCTTTCTTTGGTGAACCCAAACCTTGGCCAATGCGTTGAAGATTTATGCTGATACCTAAGAAAATAAGCACAATATTGGCTAACTCATTTCCCAAAAATATAATCCTGATGAAAATGATAATGAGTAAATCATTGAAGAGGAGGAAGCAGAAGAGAGAGAATAACTATGAGAGAATTTTATGAATAAATTGAGCATAGAAAATTCCACGAGGTTATTTGTAAGCTACACTTCAAGAATATTGTTTGTTACACCTATTTGCCGATTATAATTAGTGTGCTTTTTATCCATAATTGTAGATGAGGTATTATGTTTTCTGTTAGCAATGTTCAAGAGTTTATACAACATGGAAAGAATGAAATGCACTAATTAATGAAGGCAAGCGTTACTTGTGATGTGAGTCATGACACAGAGGATATTAGAGGGCATAATGGAAAAAACATATACTGAGTCAATCCATGGTGTTGTGATGTGAGGTTTATGTTGGGATGCGTTAATGAAATATTGTTGCAATACTTTTATTGTTTATGTTAACTTGACCCTGGACAATTTATGTATTGGCATAAAGCTTATCAGTTGTGAAACTATATTTTCATTTGTGGGCATTTCAATTTTTTTGGATTTCTGAAACATAAAAAACGCTACAACCACATAGGTATGATAAACTTACAAGTTAGAACCAATTGCTCAACTGCAAGTTCATAAAATAGAAGACACCGCTTTTCCCCGATAAACTTTTCATTATAGCTTGCCAGTAGCATCTTTTCACAACAGGATACAGACAACAACAGAAATACCGCACAAAGTGGAAGCCTACATTGCCTTGCTTAGACTGCCTTATGCATTATCTATTTGACTCTTAATTACTTCCTTTCACTATCAATAATATGCTCTAATTAAACTGACATAGAAACATTCAATCCTAGCACTAAAAATAACAATAAATTTTAAATTCAGAAATAGTGATCAAATTATAAGCAATATTAAGAACTTCCAGCGATGATGGCCAGGCTCAATATAATGAAAAAAAAAGGCTCCATAAATTGTATTTAAATTTCAACAGTGCCAGACTAAAAGACAATTTTTAAATGTAGCAAGCAAGACAGTCAGAACTCGAGTAAATAAAAAAGAAGAGAGCAATTTGTACAGCACAATTTGCAGAATTTTTGAACGTCCAGCTGCGGCAATAGAAGTGTCCAAATGCCATTCATTTGAATTTACCTGCCAATCACCTAAAAGATCTAAGAATACAGTTTTAGTAACACTATTTAAACCGGGAAAAAATCATATGATGATCTAAGGATATGCATGAGAATTATTCTACAATAAAAACCAAAGTCCTGTTACAATTAAAAACGGAAACTACAAATACCATCATAAAAACAGATCAATTAACAAAAACCAAGCAAACTTCCATATATAGTTGTCATAAGCATGCTTCAAAGTATAGTTCTGAAGTAGAGCAATTTGATGTGAGATTCTAATGCTCCAATCCATCATGGAAGCAAGTGAAGCTTATAAAGAAAATTTATTGATCATGGCTCACAGGCACTATTTAAAATTGCGCAATAAGTGCGCCTCAGTATTTTTTTCATTGCCAAACCACAATGATGCTTACACGTCAGAAATTCACTGTGAGGTATTTGTCTTGAGGCATGCCTTGCCTGTGTAAGGCACTTGCAATAATGTCCATGTTTTTTTTAATACATATCAAATACATCACGTGGTCAAGGCTAACGTGACCCCTATTATAACTTGATGATTGAGTTGTAACATCCTTTATACACAATGATAACTTGATGATAGAGTTCATGTCAATGATGAAGTTCACGTCGACGCTTATTATGGGAAAGAATGAAGTGATAGAAACTCCCGATCATCGGTCACCTATATCTAAAATAGGTGCAAGAGATTCCATGGACCATTAGAGGCTAAATATAGAGGAAGACGGGGTAATGGAGAGGGAGAAGCATCTCAAATTCTCTCCTCGAGCAAGTTAGAAAGACATGCAAGTGTGTCTGCATGTATATTATAAGATTTTTTTTTTTCATTTTTTAGAATGTCATTTCATTTAGTGTGACAATCTCGCCTTCTTACGTTAAAATGGTATGTTCCGAAAGTGTTTATGTTCAAGGCTCTGTCCATGAATGATTTGAAGACAGGTGTTGACGGATGAGCATGATAATACAGAGAAAGGCGTGGAGGAGATTTAAATGAGTAAAATTGGAATAATAATCATGTCTGATTAAGACTTTGATATAAATAATAGAAGTTTTATCAAAAATATAACAAATAATCCCTATGATACTTTTTTTAAAATATTTAGAACTTTTTGATCATCTGAATAATGCAAAGTACATTTTTTATTGCTTAATATAGTCAAAAAGTAGTATTGCATTTCATAGTATTGTTAATAGTATTTCCCAGATCCATATAGGGTCACATTGGAGACTATTTGATGATTTAGATTCTACCAGACAATACTGGTACTTCTAGAAGATGAAAATAAGTTGACGGAGGAAAGAAATAGTTTAGTATTTATCCAAATGTTAAAGGTTGTCATTTTGTAAAAATTGAACATCAAAGGCCAAGGCCTAGTGGATTATTACAATCATTACATGTACCTGAGTGAAAATTGAAAGAAATCACAATTGGTTTTGTTAATAGTATTTCCCAGATCCATATAGGGTCACAACAACATTGATCATCCACAAATTGACAAAGTCATCTTATTTCTTGTCGGTTAAGCAGATAGACCCGATTGCTGAATTGGTCAAGTTGTATATCAAAGAAATCATCAGAATGTATGATGCTTCAAACATAATTATTTCCGATAGTAATGAAAGATTCACATTCAGTTTGTGGACATGTATCCATAAAGGTTTAAGCACAAAGTTACATCTTAGTATTGCATTTCATCCACGAACCGGTGGGCAATCAAAAAGAGAAATTCAGGTATTAGAAGCTCAATTGTGGCTGTGTTCTAGATTTTGGAGGCATAACATACCACCTTCCAATGATCGAATTCGCCTAAAATAACAATTTTCAGTCCAATATAAATATGGAACCATACAAAGGCTGAAAAGGCAAGACTTCATGATGTTCGGTGGAGATAAGAGAACTCCAGCTGTTAGGTACAGAGTTGGTTGATGTTGTAAAGTTTGAGATTGAAGATTTTTTAAATTTGAAAGTTAGACCGATGAAAGGTGCAACGAGATTTATTAAGAGAAGCAAGTTGAGCCACATGCAGATTGAAACTTCTGAAATTATAAAGAGTAACCAGGTTGCTTGTAGATTAGCACTATTAGCAATTATGCCATACATCAATGATGTGTTTCAAATATCTATGTTAAGAATATAGGTTTCAGAGTCAGAAAAAAAGGATTGTACATGAGGAATTGATATGCAAAATAATTTGACATATATTAAAGAGTTTGAGAAGATTTCAGACCAAAAATCAAATGTTAAAAACTGAGGAAAAGAGGAATCAGGTTGCTTGTAGATTAGCACTATTAGCAATTATGCCATACATCAATGATGTGTTTCAAATATCTATGTTAAGAATATAGGTTTCAGAGTCAGAAAAAAAGGATTGTACATGAGGAATTGATATGCAAAATAATTTGACATATATTAAAGAGTTTGAGAAGATTTCAGACCAAAAATCAAATGTTAAAAACTGAGGAAAAAATAAATTTCATATATTAAGGTAAAGTGAAAGCACATAATAGGAAAAAAAAACTTGGAAAAATGAAAAAGATCTGAGAAATTTCCCAATCTACTCAAATAATTACACAAGTCTGAGGATAAATTTTTATAAGGGAAGAATTTCGATACCTAAAAATTGTCAAATAAGTAAATTATGCTTAATTTTAAATTATACTATAAGTTTTGGACTCCCCAAAATCATCAAATTAGTTCATAAAAAATTCTAAATCTTATTTCAATCATTTTAATGTACAGAAGTATCATTAATTTATAAAAAAAAGTAAAAGTTGATTAAATATTTTGTATTTTAATTAATTTCCTAAAATTTTAATTAAAGTTTCTATTGCAGTACCGTCAAAGTAACTATAGCACTGAAAAACAAAATTCACTAATTCTTGCATGCATCGGTTGAATGAAGATACAAGGTTAAAATTGTGAAAGTTACTATAGCACTAAAACCCAAAATTCACTAAATCTTACTTGCATAGTTGGATGAAGATAGAGGATTAAAATTATATATATATATGTATAGATATAAAGCCCAAGGGCTAATATATTAGAAATGAGTGGTACAAAATAGGTTGAATGAGAGGGCCGATTAAGAACCCAAAGCACCTGGTATGCAACACACCAAAATCTCTAAAAAATAGAAAAATACATGTATACCTAAAACCATAATAATATAATCTCTACGCCGAAGTCTCCAAACAGAGCAAAATTCACAAGCCATTTGAAAGTATTAGTTGGATCGGTGAGAGCGATAAATGGCAAACAGATGGAAAAAATACTTTTTGAGAGAGGGAGTCTTCTTCCTACGCAAAATTCACAAGCCGTTTCAGTTGGGTCATCGGTCATCCCCCAGATGTGTGTGCAGGCACGACGGCGCAGAATCAAACAGAAGGAAGATATACTTGTTGCACCAAGTAACTGGAAGAAAAGGAGAACGAAAAGCTGGCGTAATTGATCGACCAAGAAGGACCCATAAAAACACCTGTAAAATTCGCAAATCCAAATAGATAATGTGAGCATGAGTACGACCCAAAGTGCCCTTACCTCTTACCATTGGTCCTAGATAGGGAGCTTTCTAACAAATGGTTAAGTTTTCTGTCATTACCCGAAGCAACCAAGGTATCATACGTTAAGTTTCTGAGCTCTAGTAGACCTTTATTCTTCTTCTTTTTCCTAGATGTGTAAACCTGTCAATCCCCATCCGAAGACTGGCTCAACCAATCAGTGCATTGGTTCAAAAATTCTCGGACAGGTGTAGGTTGTTGCATAACAGCCCCTTGTGCCTGATTGACATTAAAAACATGTTCGGTCTGATCAGATGGTAGGGCTGCAGTAGAAAGCCCTAGCCCTCGCCTACCAACTGAGGTTCCACACGAGGTATAATAAGGGCATGTTTAGAGCAGCTTATAAGTGCGGCGGCATTTTCAAAACGTCGTTTACCTGTTTGTTTCGCATGTTCGGACAGATTCTATGGAAACCGCGTTTAATTTTTTCCACTAGCCCTCGCCTACCAACTGAGGTTCCACAGGAGGTATAATAAGGGCATGTTTAGGGCAGCTTATAAGTGCGGCGGCATTTTCAAAACGCCCACTGTACTGTTTGTTTCTCACTTTACCTGTTTGTTTCGCACGTTCAGACAGATTCTATGGAAACCGCGTTTAATTTTTTCCATTGCACGCAGATCGCTGGGTTATACCCGCGATCAGTGTTCGCACGCAGCTTTCTTCCCTCGTTTTACGCCTCTACCCCTCTCACTCAAGAGAAAACCTAGCCCTCGCCGCCTAAGCCACGAACCTTTGCTCTCCTTCGTTGAAAGCCATTAGAAGCCGTTCGTTCCTCTCCGTAGCCGAAAGCCAGGCTTCCCCCTCCTACACATCCTCCGTCGCTCTCCTCCGGGCGCACTCCGTCAGTGCCCTCCGTCCTCTGTCAAAAGCCAGGTATATTCTCCCCTAGCCTAACCGTTGCGGTCTTGTTTTTGGTTGTGACCGGAGCTATGATTTTATTGCTTTACTATTGACATTTGTTTGTTGGAGGCCTTAGGATAGCAAGTCTTAGCTTTACTGTTCGAAGTCGTTCGTTGCACTTATTAGTTGATTCTGTTCTTCTTCTGCATTCTCATCCATAAATAGTTTGATTCATGGAAATTGCTCATTTCTTTCCGATAGTTTGATTTATTCTCATCCTTTTTATGAATTATCATTGCTGGAGTGGTTTTCTGTGGTTTAACTTGTAATATTGTTGCATGGTGCTAATAAAGCTTATATGGCTATTCCAATGTTTTCAATGAACTAATAAAGCACAT